CCGGCGCGACCTTGGCGAGCGTCGACTTCTGGAGCTTCTGCCAGAGCTTGGCGTCCGCGCCGAAGTCGACGCGCGCGGCGACGGCGCCGGACGCGTTCGACGCCGCCAAGGCCTGGAAGGCCCCCACGGCGGCGTCGGCCTTCTTCTTCGCGTCGGCCTTCTGGGCCGCCTTGAGGGGCCCCGCGATGAGCTTCTGCACCTCCTCGCGCGCGGCCATCTTCTCGTGCTGCGGCATGGTGGCCGCGTCGACGTCGAGCTTCAGCGCCTTGACGGTCTCGCCGACGGCCGCGATGTGTTCCGGCGTCGCCAGGGGCATGGCGCCGAGCATGGCCAGCCGCTCGCGGATCTCCGTCGCCGCCGCGTGGGCCGCCGCGGCCTTCTCGCGCGTCGCCGCGACGACGCGGCGCACGCCCTTGGCGATGCCGTTCTCCTCGAGCAGCGCGAAGCCCACGGCGTCCTTCGTGTTGCGCACGTGCGTGCCGCCGCAGAGCTCGACGGACATGCCCCGCCAGGCGGCGCCGCTCGGCGCCGCGACGACGTCCGCGACGGGCGCGCCGACGGCGACGACGCGGACGGGATCGGGGTACGCCTCGCCCTTCATCGCGCGGAGGCCTGTGTGCAAATCAAATCTTCAACCCGACTTCAATGTGCGCGTATTCGAATGTTTTGACGCGAGACTTTCTGCCGTGCTTCGAGAACTCGACGAGAGCGATCGATTCGTCCAAAAATCAGCCAAATCGACTTCGATTTGACCGAGCTAGAGAATTCTGAAGTTTGGCCCCGACGTCCCAGCTCACTGGTTGATTTGCACACAGGCGCAAACTCTCGACGGCCATGGCCGCGTCCAAAGGCGTCTCCACGGCGTCGACGACCAAGCCCGCGGCGATGGTCTCGTTGACGATGGCCTCGACGGCCTTGAGCTGGTCCGCCGTCAGCGGCGCGTCCCACGCGAAGTCGAAGCGGAGCCGCTCGTCGTCGACGTAGGACCCGCGCTGCGCGCAGCGGTCCACGCCCGTCTTCTCCGCGTCGGCCTTGGCGCCCTCGCTGCCGCCCAGCAGCACCTCGCGCAGCGCGAAGTTGAGCACGTGCGTCATCGTGTGGTTCGGGGCCACGCGGACGCGCCGGTCGTAGT